TAAAAACAAAAAATACACAAGACAATAGACCAGGAAGAGGAAAAAAAGGCAAGAAGGAAAAAAAAAAAACATGAAACCATCTCGTATACAAGCAATATACATTTGACCCAATAAGATCAGCTCAAATAACATAACCAGCTGTGGGGGGGGAAGGGTAAACCCATATGTAGGCTGCGTAGTGGGCAGGACAATGGTCCAATCCACCCACCAGCTTAAAGCGGGATGCAGTAGTCCACCGGAACCACTTGGCTGAACTAAAACAGTAACTTGTTTAGCAAACATAGGCTAATTAACTCCGCTATCTAATAATCATCAAATGGTAAATAAAGCCATATGAACTACAGTCATCTAGTGACAGAGATGGAGAAACTCCAGGATAGCAATACTCACGAGACCATTCATGGGTCTAGCCCAGTGGTGGGCAACCTTTTTTTTCAACTGAGCCAAATCTCGCCAAAACCACGATTGAAACTTATTTTGAGAGCCACATTTTTAAAACTGAAAATTCATCCCCCATATAGTAATTCATCCCCCATATAGTAATTCATCCCCCATAGTAATTCATCCCCCCTATAGTAATTCATTCCCCATATTGTGTCAGTTCACTTACCTTTGCTCCGCGCGTTCCTCTCGCCGTGTTCCCGCGCCTTTCCGGTCTTCAGGGCGGACTGTGAGAGGAGAGGAGTTCGTCACGCTGCCCCGCCTACATCCTGGCTGCCCCGCCTACATCCTGACAGCCAGTGTTTGCCACGCTCCGCGGGCCGGATTAAAAGGTCCGCCGGGCCGTAGTTTGCCCATTGCTGGGCTAGCTGCAGAGTCCTGACTTTTGGGGCGGCCACCCGAGAGGAGGGAGGGGAGCGGGCGCCCAGCACACAGAAGAGCCACATTGAAGTGTGTAAAGAGGCCGCATGTGGCTCGCGAGCTGCGGCTGCCTGTCAGCTGGTGGGCAGTGTGCTCCGGAGCCGCAGCAAAGGTGAAAAAAGAGCCGCATGCGGCTCTGGAACCGCAGGTTGCCGACATCCGGTCTAGCCCAATAAACAGGGTCGCACTCACATCAGGAAATCCACCTCCGGTGTCGCCCACTGTCAGCAGCAATAGTAGGGACAACTAAGCAGAGCTAGCATGTCCACAAGGGCAGAGGGCCCAATAAAGGAGGTGATGCATCACGTGACTACTCAGGAGCCGGAAACCAGCAAGAAAGATCACCCAAGGGCAATGTCGCCCGCATTGCAAAAATGGGAAAATGTAAAAATTCAACAGGATACAGAATGTCAGCTCGCAGAGACTTCCTGGAAACGTTGAGGCTGGAGAGATCGAAGAGCTTGAGAGCTGCTTTGACTCAAATGAGGTGACTTGCGTGAAGATTGGGATCCCCGTGAACTGACAGCCTTGATAGGAAAAAGCTTGAATGGGAAGCCCCATCTGTATTTGATAACTGCGGACTGTAGAATTTGTAGATGGGGCCTGAGGGTACAGCGTTTTGCTATTGTGACTGGAGACAAGTCGGCAAACAGCTGAAGGGAGTTATCCTGAAATTCCAGTGCTGGTTGGTTCCAAGCTGCCTGTAGGTGGTGCTCTTTAGTGCGGTAATAGTGGAACTTAATAATAATGTCCCTTGGAGGGCGCTCTGTGGGTTTAGGGGCTAAAGATCTGTGGATATGGTCAAATTCCAAACGTTCCAGAGGGATCTCAGGAGCCAGTTCTTGAAAAAGGGCAGTAGCAGTGCCCTGTAAATCAGTAATCCCTTCAGGAACCCTGCGAATGTGGCGATTTATCTCTACGGGCCTTGTTCTCTACATCTTCCAAATTTAATTTTTAAAGTTTCCAGCTCAGCATGTAAATCCTCCACTTCCTGTTCATGGCCCTCCAAAACTGTAGTTACCAGATCCATACACTGTTCTAATTGATGAGCATGATGACCCAATTCTTTTAGACCTTTTACCAGATCAGAGGACAGCTTGCGAGAGGCAATTTTAATCTCTTCTTCCCACACAATGGAACTGAATTTATGTAATAAAGCTTCAGGTTTGTGCTCAAAAGAACTGGTTAAAACAGAGGGAAACTGGTGCTGACTGTCCACACCAGAGTCCGGATCCCCTGTGAGCCGCATGGTGTCATTGTGCTCTGGAGGGCTGGGCGCCATCTTGCCAGGCTGCTGGAGCGGGGAATCTCTCTGTTGAGCCCGGTGTTTGGGCTTAGTGCGCAGGGTGCGATGCATCTTCGGACGTAGGGTGGGTGTTCCGCAAGCACCTCTGACCTTTTGTAGCAGTATGTGGGAGTTTAGAAGCCCGATATGCTGAGGTGGATGTTCCAGTGGCACAGAGCAGGGGAATCAACAGACAATCTAGCCTGGCTACGCGTGTGCGCCCCCGTCAGTGCTTTTTTTTTTCTTTTTCTTTAAGCACTGATCACTGTATTGGTGTCATTGGGGATGTCAGTGACACCAAGTCAGTTCCAACCAGTGTCAGAATGTCCGCCGCAGTCCCACTATAAGTTACCGATCGCCGCCATTACTAGTAAAAATGAAGCAAAAAAAAAAATCAGTATATATACCACCATTTTTAAACGCTATAACTTTCACATAAACCAATTAATTTACACGTATTGGGATTTTTTTTTTTAGTAAAGACATGTAGCAGAATACATTTTGGCATAAACTTATGACGAAATTTGATTGTTACATTTTTTTTTACTGGACCTGTGTAATAGCAAAAAGTCAAAAATATTGTTTTCTTTTTCCTCAAAATAGTTTTTTTTTTTTTTTTTTTTATAGTAGTGCAAAAATTAAAAACCGCACAGGCGATCAAATATTACCAAAAGAAAGCTCAATTTGTGGGAAAACAAGGAAGGGGAGTAAATCCTCAGAAGGGCAAGTGGATACGAATAGTTTATTTGAAAGTGGTAAACAACTCGCAAAATAAAAACAATGTTACACATATCAAAAAAGTATCCTTTCTTCCTTCAATTCGCTCTTAAGAGACCACATCAGATATGGCCATTCTATGGCCTTGAGAAGGAGCACACATGCTCCGAACGCGTGTCGGCCACTCCTTCTGCCTCTTCCTCCCATTAACGGCACAAGCTGTTGGCTCTCATGTCTCCTGTCCAGCCATGGAGCCCTGGAATCCACCAGAGCGACTAAGCAATGGATCACAAAATTGCCTGCAGCAGTATAGCGGTCCGGTAAAGTGAAGATGGAAATGATACTTTTTTGACATGTGCAACATTGGTTTTATTGTGAATTGTTTACCACTTTAAATTAAACCATTTTTGTTTATTCTACACTCAGATTAGCACTGCTGTCTCCAGCCTTCATTCAGCCTTCAATAGTGCAAACCAGTGTTTATTAGCAGTTGAAACCAATTAAAATATTCTTACTCAAGTATTTTGCGTGTATATCACAAGGCTCAAGCACATTATTATTATTATTATTATACAGGATTTATATAGCGCCAACAGTTTGCTCAGGGCTTTACAATATAATGGGAGACCATACAGAAACAATACAGTTCAATGCAAGAGGGCTAGGAGGACCCTGCTCCTCGGAACTTACAATCTAGGAGGGAGGGGCTAGTCGTACAAAAGGTAGTAACTGTGGGAGATGGACTGGTAGGAAGAGTAGAAGATTCCATTATTAGCTGACGGCAGGATAGGCTTCCCTGAAGAGAGGTTTTCAGAGGTCGCCTAAAAGTGAGCAGAGTTGGCGATAGTCTGATAAATTGGGGTAGAGAATCCCAGAGTATGGGGGAAACTCTGGAAAAGTCCAAGAGACAAGCATGGAAGGAGGAGACAAGGGAGCTAGAGAGCAGGAGGTCGTGCGAGGAGGCAGAGAGTACGGTTTGGGTGATATTTAGAGACAAGATCGATGATGTAATTTGGGGCAGAGTTATAAATGCCTTTATATGTTATTGTTAATGTTTTGAATTGTATCTGTTTGGGCAATGGGAAGCCAGTGGAGGGATTGGCAGAGAGGGGTGGCTGATCCAGAATGGTTAGTAAGGTGGATGAGTCTGGCAGCAGCATTCATGATAGACTGAAGAGGGGATAGCCTGCGATGAGGTAGGGCCAATGAGGAGGGAGTTACAATAGTCACATGTAAACACTTCCTGGAGCCTCCTGCTCTCCAAGTACCGGAAGTATGAAAGTGGAAGTGATATGAAGCCCCATCCAACTTGTATGACGTCATCAGGAGCCATCCTTGATGTCATATGACGAAACACGTTATATGGGGCTTGTTGCATCACTTCTGCTTTCATACTTTCGATCCTTGAAATCCTACACAGTGATATCCTAGCATAGTTTACATCAACGTGGAGCATTATAGTCCAGACTGGTTTTGTGACTGTGCTGATGGCAGTTTCAACAACATTGTGTTAAATGTGTAATTGAAAGAAATTAAGTGCCACTGAAACTTGATTTTTTTTTTTTTTTAGGAAATGGCAAGTCTAAATTTCATTATAAAATGAAGAGCTGGGCTCATGCTCTACAACACTCGTGTGTGTGTGTATATATATATATATATATATATATAGCGTTACCAACAAGCCTTTAAAAAGTGAAAGTCTCCTTCACCCCATATCCATTGAGCTGTGTTGATCTGAATTGATCAGTGCAGGGGGGAAAATAAAACAATTGTTTTCTATGTGTTCTGTTCACACTAAACACTGTTGAAGTGTGCTGAACTGCATGTCACAGCTAGTAGCTGCAATGAATAGACTTAAAGAAAGTGTCATTTTATGCGACTTCATAAAGTAAAAATAAATGAAGTAAATGGTGCAATGCGTTGGAACAATGCTTCTCACTGCCACTGCACAATGTACTCCAGCAAGCAGGCAGTTTAGAATACAGGCTGGTGTGGAGTCTATATAGTTTAAATGAAGTCTAAAACACTTTGAATGCATTTAGATTCATGATAGATTTGTTTTAGTCTATTTTTATTCTGTGCTTGTGTGTACCTTTCTCTGATGTATTTGTTAAACCTGTTATTTCTTTGTTTGCAGCAAATTCCGGATGTATCTCCAACTGGTCGATACACGACCCTGGTTCCACTGCTCTTCATTTTAGCTGTAGCTGCAGTAAAGGAAATCATAGAAGATGTTGTAAGTATGCTAGTGACAGTTATACGTCTTTTGCTTCCTTATGGTAAATGTTGTAGATTTTAAAGAGGACCTTTACTGTGTAAGCGGTGCTCAACATAATCAAAGCACAAAGGACCACTATTGCCTGCACTATATGCCCCCTACTACTGATCTTTTCCCCATTACTGATTTTACCATGCCTAGTTCTGCACTCTTTCTATGTTGAACCAGCCATCTTGTTGGAGAAGTGCGGCTTATGTCAGAGTTGCCACCTTGATGAGTGGTGGAGGAATATTAAAGAAGCATCAGAGGAGTTGAATGAAGGGCAGATAGTGCAAGGAAGAATCTGGCACTATAGGCCCTCATGTACAAGCGTCCTCTCCAGCAAGGAGAACAGTCAGCAGCACTGTAGTGAGACTAACAGTCACAGGTAGCAATGCCTTAGATCAGTGGTCGGCAAGCCGCGGCTCTTTACAAGCTTAAATGCGGCTCTTCTGTGTGCCGTGCGCCCGCTCCCCTCCCTCCTCTCCCTCCCCTCCCTCCCTCCCTCCCCTCCCTCCTCTCCCTCCCTCTCCCTCCTCTCGGACGGGCGTGTGCCGGGCGGCCCGCCCTCTCACCTCCCCTCACCTCACCTCCCCTCACCTCACCTCACCTCCCCTCCCCTCCCTCCTCTCGGACGGCCGCCCCAAAAGTCAGGACTCTGCAGCTGTCAGGATGTAGGCGGGGCAGCCAGGATGTAGGCGGGGCAGCGTGACGAACTCCTCTCCTCTCACAGTCCGCCCTGAAGACCAGAACGGCGCAGGAAGCACGACGAGAGGAACGCGCGGAGCAAAGGTAAGTGAATTGACACAGGAGGGACTTACTATATGGGGGACTTACTATATGGGGGACTTACTATATGGGGGACTTACTATATGGGGGACTTACTATATGGGGGATGAATTACTATATGGGAGATGAATTACTATATGGGAGATGAATTACTATATGGGAGATGAATTACTATATGGGAGATGAATTACTATATGGGGGATGAATTTACTATATGGGGGATGAATTACTATATGGGGGATGAATTACTATAGGGGGGATGAATTACTATAGGGGGGATGAATTACTATAGGGGGGATGAATTACTATAGGGGGGATGAATTACTATGGGGGATGAATTACTATATGGGGGATGAATTACTATGGGGGGGATGAATTACTATGGGGGGGATGAATTACTATGGGGGGATGAATTACTATATGGGGGATGAATTACTATGGGGGATGAATTACTATGGGGGGGATGAATTACTATGGGGGGATGAATTACTATGGGGGGATGAATTACTATGGGGGGATGAATTACTATGGGGGGATGAATTACTATGGGGGGATGAATTACTATGGGGGATGAATTACTACTATGGGGGAATGAATTACTATGGGGGATGAATTACTATATGGGGGATGAATTACTATATGGGGGATGAATTACTATATGGGGGATGAATTGCTATGGGGGATGAATTGCTATATGGGGGATGAATTGCTATAAGGGGGGATGAATTGCTATATGGGGGGATGAATTGCTATGGGGGATGAATTACTATATGGGGGATGAATTACTATGGGGGATGAATTACTATATGGGAGATGTATTTTCAGTTTTAAAAATGTGGCTCTCAAAATAAATTTCAATCGTTGTTTTGGCGCGAGATTTGGCTCAGTTGAAAAAAAAGGTTGCCCACCACTGCCTTAGATGATCTCTCACTGCAGATATACAGCTTGGAGGCTTAAGGCAGGAGACATACACTGCCAATTTTTCAGGAGGAATTCGAGAAATAAGGAACATTTTTTCAGGATCCTGCGTGGACACAAATAATATTTCTAGATGCTCCTTACAGATGGCAATTTTTCTTTTTACAACTTTGACTTTAGATCCACTTTAATAGCAGCTTGTTATGTTTTCACAGTGGGTCTGATGCTGCCTGTAAATATCGCAGTGAAAGTAAGCAGTACTCTTGCTTTTAAGCATTTCTATGCAATCATTATGTCAGATGTGCTTGAGTGATAATTTGCCCCTCAGGTAACCAGGGTCTCATTAGAGAGAAACTGAACTCTGGAAGCCGTGGCCAAAAAAAGGCAGTAGTGCAAAGGACTAGTCTCCAGGATTGCCTGTGGTCTCCCTGCAGCTGATCTTTCCCTAGTTTTGACTTACCATGCCTTGTTCTGCACTGTGTCTGTGTATGGGCGAGGCCATCTTTGGAAGAGGTAAAACTTTTGCTTTCTCATGTCAGATCCTTAAGTAAAGAGGAAAGTGAACAGCACGGTAGTGACATCACCAAATCTCACTTCAAATCTCATGAGACTAGTAATCAGTGGATAGCAGTGCTATAGATCCAACACTGCAGATATGCAACTATGAGGCTATAGGTACAGGAGTATCAAGGTACCTCCATACCAGGAAGTGCACTATTGTTGTTCAATGGGAATTTCAGAAAAAAAGTTTTTTTTTTCAGGCTTCCTCTTGGGCACATGTGTCCTTACTAAATTTTCTCTATACCATAGCTAGTCTTTACTTTTTTAGATCAGTTTCGCTTTAGGGCAAAGAAGAATTTTAATTTGAGCAGTGCCTGATCTGTCACTCTTCTATGGGAGGGGAGTCATCAGCAATCTTTAGTACACGCTACTCATAGTATAAGACCAGATCTGGTGCGTGCCCCTCATGGGGTCCAGTCTTGTGCAGGGGTCCAATCATTCATTACAATCGTCAACCAAATGCTTCTCGACACATTGTTCTCTGGGAATTATCTGCCCATCCGTGGTCATGTGTTAGACCATTGTCAAATTCCTTTCTTTCAGATATTGTTGTTGAAGATAGTCTTATGACAGCTGTTATAGTGTCATTAATCTTTATTATGAAAAGATCTTTTGCTTATTACGATGGCTCTTACAAACTGCTTCCAGAATTTGCAGATTATTTAATTTAGGGACTCATTTACACGAGATGTGGCCCAGGTGGGTGCTAAATCCATTCCTACTGTCTGGTAGGCCTGGACACTACTACTTCTAAGACAGATGATATGGATTCATGGTGTCCTAAGGCTCAGTTCACACTATGTAGGTGTGCCAGAGCATGCTCGTGTTATGTTTAACCCATTCATTTGAAAAGGCTTCCTCTATGCACGAAAAACGCACAAAAGAGTTTACTGACCCTGTTAAAATAATTGTTTGCACAAAAACATGTACTTTGTTACCATGTGGTTTGCCATACATGAGTGCACACACGCTAGCAAGATGTATGAGGGTACCCATTATTAATGGTAACGGCACGTGTCTGCTAAAGGGCTGCATGTTTTTGTGTGTTGAGGAAAAAGCGCACGCATATGCCCGCAACACACAAGTGTAAACATGGCCTAACTGTTCTCCGAGTATGCATTACCTTCATTTCCTGGCCAACTGACACTAAGATGGCAAAATGCTGGTAGCTGTTTTTTAAAAATAAAAACTGCACAGGAATTGAAGGGAATGTTCGTTGTCTGATGCCATCTGAATGATGTGTGAGTGCAGGGCATCACATTCTTTCTTATCAGGTTAAAAAAAGTGAAAGAATGAAAATGATTGGTATGAGCATTAAATAACCTTTTCTTTCCAGAAATGTTTAATATGTGATGGATGTAGCTATTACCAGGTGTGAAATGGATACTGAAGTTTAATATTGTAGCTTGTTGGGGAAATCTTGTTTTTTGTTGGGAATGAAAACAAATCATTTTCCTTCTCTGTACATGTAATATATATATATGTAATATATATATATGTAATATATATATATATATATATATATATATATATATATATATATATATATAGCCCCAGGAAAACTCCATTTGTAACTGGTTAATTTGCTGAGTGGGTGATTTTGTTTAAGGCAGAACTACACTACACCTGAGCACCACAAACCAAAAATGCTATTTGATTAATTTTTAACATTCAAAGCAAATACACCCCTCCATCAATGTTTCCATGCCTTATTTTGCTCAGAAGTCACTTTTGAAAAACACTACTCATGCATTTCTGTCTGTGTCTATCTTGAGTAAGGGCAGATGATTCATGTAGCATTTATTTCCTGGAGTCCATCTGCCCTTAGCTCAGGCATGCAGACAGGAGAGTGTAGTTAGCTGAGAAAATCCCTCCTCCCCTCCTGAAGACTCCTGCAATTTATGATCTCATTTGTCTAGGCCTGGAAACAAGGAAGTAACTGGAGAAATGTAAAAAAGAAAATTTAAAACATGGAAATATAATATACCTTCCTATCAATATACTAATACAGGTAACGTGCATAGCAATGGATAAAGTCTGAAGGAAATTAAAACAGAGAGGTTATCTAGTTTATTAAAAGTTCATTTCTTTGTTCAATAGGTTATTGTTTTGTTACTCACCCGCAGAGTAATCCCTAGCTGAATGATTGGTGATTGCGTCTCGGTCTCCAATGTTTCCTTTTAGTACAACAGGTGGCTGTTTTAGTATGCCCATTATTCAAGTCAAAGAGTGCCCTATGCGTGAGGTGCAGAAACACACATTAAATGTAGAGCTGAAATGTACATTCCCACTATGGAAGTGTGTCCCCCAGCCTAAAGGAAGCTGTGACGTCACATCGTTTTAAACAGAATTTTTCTAAAGAACTGGGAAATTTTAACAGAAATGAGCACATTTATTTACATATTTAACATGTATTTTTCTTTTCTTTTTTGTAGCGTTGGATAGAGTAGAGAGGGTGTAGAACACCTGTCAGGTTTTTTTTATAGTTGTTTGTGCCCCTGTTATATGGAGATCCACCCTCTCTATTTGTCCTGTTTACCATTATCATCGAAAGTAAAAGAAAGTGTTGGGTTATCCTCAGAACAGGAATAGAGGAATAAACTTCCAATGGGGACACTAGCACCGGTAACCCTAGTACACCCTGGAATTCCCTCACTTTGGAGGGATTTTTTCCTCACTTCCTGTTGGGACAGGAAGTCAAAGGAAACTTC